AAAAAAAAAAAAAAAAAAAAAAAAAAAAAAAAAAAAAAAAAAAAAAGCAGGCAACAGATCTGAAGAGATACCTCACCAAAGAAGATATACAGATGGCAAATAAGCATATGAAAAGATGTTCCACACCCTATGTCATCAAAGAAATAAAAATCAAACAATGAGACAACAATTCACATCTCTTAGAATCGCAAAGAATCAAAGTCCTGACATCAAATGTTGGTAGGGATGTGGAGCAACATATTCATTGCTGGCAGGGATGCAAAATCATACAGCCACTTTGAAAGACAATTTGGCAGCTTCTCACAAAACTAAACATAGTTTTAGCATACAATCCATCAATCACATTCCTTGGTATTTACCCAAAGCAGTTGAAAAAATGCCCATACCAAAACTTGTATGTGGATGTATATGACTGTTTTACTCATAACTCTCAAAACCTGAAAGCAACCAAGATGCCCTTCAGTAGGTGAAGGGATAAGTAAATTGTGGTACATCCATAATGGAATATTAGTAAGTGCAAAGAAGAAATCAGCTATCAAGCCATGAAAAGCCAAAGAGGAACCTTAAATCCACACTACTAAGTGAAAGAAACCAATGTAAAAGGTTACATACTATATGATTCAAACTATATGACAGTCTAGAAAAGGCAAAGCTATGGAGACAATAAAAAGATCAGTGGCTGCCAGTGGTTAGGGAGATGGGGGGATGAATAGGCAGGGCACAAAAAATTTTGGGAGAATTGAAACTACTCTATGTGATACTGTTATAGTAGAAAATTATACATTTGTCAATAGTCATAGAACATAAAACACCAAGAGTGAACCCTAATGTAAACTGTGGACTTCGTGTGAAAATGACGTGTCAAGATAGGTTCAATTATAACGAACATACTACTCTGTTGAGGGATGTTGACAATGGGGGAAAGCTATGCATATGGGGTTGAGTTTGTGACAAATCTCTGTACGTTTCACTCCACTCTGTGAATCTAAAATTGCTCTAAAAAATGCTATTTAAAAAATTAGATGATAGCAAAAACAAAGTGACCAAGTGCAAACATATTTTAATTGTCTCCATTTTCTCTACATGGTCTCTTAATCATAACACACTACAGTACTTAATTATGAGTGGCCAATTGGAAGCAAAAATAAAGTTAATGCAGCTGGGCGTTGTGGCTCACGCCCCTAATCCCAGCACTTTGGGAGGCTGAGGCAGGTGGATCACAAGGTCAGGAGTTCAAGATCAGCCTGGCCAAGATGGTAAATCCTGTCTCAACTACAAATACAAAAATTATCTGGGCATGGCGGCAGGCGCCTACTTGGAGGCTACTTGGGAGGCTGAGGCAGAGAATTGCTTGAACACAGGAGACAGAGGTTGCAGTAAGCCAAGATCCCAATGCTACACTCCAGCCTGGGCGACAGTGTGAGACTTCATCTCAGAAAAAATAAAAAATAAAAATAAATAAATACAAAGTTAATACATACAGTTAATTCCCTGCCATAACTTCTTCTTTAAAGTTAGGACACCTTTATTTCTATGACCATCACTGTCAGCGGACCCCAACCTTTTTGGCATCAGGTATTAGTTTCATGGAGGACAATTTTCCTACAGATCCAGGAGAAGGGGTATGGTTTCAGAATGAAACTATTCCACCTCAGATTATCAGGCATTTGATTCTCATAAGGAGTGCACAGCCTAGATCCCTTGCATGCACAGTTCACAATAGAGTTAGTGCTCCTATGAGAATCTAATGCCATTGCTGATCTCACAGGAGGCAGAGCTCAGGTGGTAATGCTCGCTCACTCGCCATTCACCTCCTTCTTTACAATCCAGTTCCTAACAGGCAAATGACCAGTAACTGGTCAACATCCCAGGGTTGGGGACCCCTGAACATTATATGGAATGAAAAGGAAAACAAGGCTTAGAGATATAAAGTAATTGTCCATGGCATTATAGCTAGTATATGGTCTGACTTCTAGGCCCATATTCTTCAACATTTTTTAAACACTCTCAGCTTAAGTTTATTTTATTAAAAATATAAATTTAAAATTATATTTTAAAAATTAACATGGTTCATTTATAGTTCACAAAAATTTTTACATTGCTTTTACTTCATTATGGATAACTATATAAGCAGATTCTTTTATCTTTTTCTTTTTTTTTTTAATTGAGACAGGGTCTCACTCTGACACCCAGGCTGACATGTAGTGCTGTGATCATAGTTTACTGCAGCCTAAAACTTCTGGGCTCAAGCAATCCTCCCACCTCGGCCTCCTGAAGAGTCAGGACTACAGGCATGTGCCACAGTGCCTAATTTTTTTTTTTTTTATTTTTAGAGACAGGGTCTTGCTATGTTGCCTAGGTTGGCCTGAAACTCTTAGCCTCAAGTATGCATCCTGCCCCAGCCTCCTGAGTTGCCAGTATTACAGGCTTAAGCCACTGTGACCAGCTGCAGATATTCTTTTATTAAATGACCAAAAAAAAAATCCATATAAGAGGGGGAAAAATGTAGTGAATCACAAAATATACCTTTTCTCCCATAATGACAGGTAGCAAATGGTCCAGCAAGTTGAATTCAGCCATGGAAATTGTGCAAGTACATTTGAGGAGAGTAACACTTGTATGTCGAGTAGGAATATATTCCTCTAGAAAAGCCACGTCTTCAGGATTCAGTATTGCTTCATTTTCATCTTTAATATCTAAAATTAAAATGATAAAAATGTAGTAAAGAATGTTTTTAAATAATTGTCTTAAACGAATGAAAAATGAATTAATTAGATCTCTAAACTATAAGGTCAAATCCTGTTTTTCAACAATGAAGCAGGTATAAAACAATAACAAATGTACCTTTTACAAATATGTTACCTTTAACAAATATAAGTTACTCGGGGGTGGATCCAAGATGGCCGTTTAGGAACAGCTCAGGATTGCAGCTCTCAGTGAAAGCGCAGAGGGTGAGTGGACGCCGTGTTTTTATTGCCCACAGACTAGGAAATTCCCGGGCAGAGGTGCTCCACGGTCACCAGCGCGGCTGTTTCGGCCAGCGCGGCCGTGCCGGCCAGTGCCGCGGCTTTGCCCCGCGCGGCTGCTTTGTCGGCGCCCCG